TCAAATGCAAATGATATTTGTTATTCTATCAAGAGACATAGAGTGAAGACTACTATTAAAATTTGAAATTTTGCTACATTTGGCATAAGAGATGCAATGCCAACAACTAACAAATCAAATAATTGTATTGAAACTTTTTGTCCAAACTGTTATATTATATCAGCTGGGATTGTAAAAGAAAAAAATATTATTAATTTTCATTATGAGAATTTTTTATATTGAGGTCATGATAGTCATGATATTGTTTGATTTTCTTGTATAATTTAAAAATACTTGAATTTTAGAAATAAATTACCAAATAACTTGAATTTAGACAAAAATTTCTACAAAAACCATATCCCCTACCCTGCTATATATATAAATAGGTAGGAGGAGAATTGAATTATTTTGGTGAAGAGTGTGCAACTTTAGGGGAGCAAATATGGATGGGCCCTAATCCTCCAAAGAAATTACAATTATCAATATGGGATGGGATGGGATGGAATGGAATGGGAGGGTGTGGGGGATCCGAAGAAAATAATTTCCTCTCTCATTCTTTCGTGTCTCACTCTCCACCGTTAAACTTTGTCCTGTCCTTCCTTGCTCACTTTTCCAATCAAGAAGGCAAGCAAGGCAAGTAATTTATTGATAAAAAAATGTTAGGAAGTTACAATGTAAAATTTTAAATTCAGAAGCAATAATATGATAAGGGAATTAAATAAGATCAATTTGATTGATGAGAATTTTTGTATTTTATTAGAAGGTTTGTAGTTTAAATCTTTCTATTTGTTTGTAAGTTTTATTTCCCGTGTAATAATTTGAACTTTCTCATTTACCTTGGGAATTTCTTTGTAAAATTTTATATTTTATTTGATCTTTATTATTATAGGAGCGGAGGCACAACAGAACCAGGAGATCACGTGTCTCCCTTCAGTTTTGAAAACTTTTTCTTTATTTGGTTTGTTTTTCAGAAAAAATTTTAAGAAAAATTCTCTACAAACAAATTTTCAAGAGTAATTAAACCAAACAAATTTTTCTAAAAAAAATCTCAAAATTTTGTTTGATTACCTATTTTCCAAAATCACATACACTCTCTCTCTCATACACATCAAATAAATCATTTTTTTTAAAACTCTCTCCCCAAAACAATTTTCCAAAACCATTTCTGAAAAAAGACAAACCAAACAAGTTTTCGTACTTTTTATCTCAAAAATTACTCTACAAACACAAACCAAACACACCCTTTATTTTTTTTGGATTATTGTCATGTATAAAATATATTCTCTTAATGAATAAAATAAGTAGTTATTTATTGTGAACAACACAATAAACCTTTAATCAAAGAATTCACAATAAGTAGTTATTTAATACTTTTGAAACACTATATGGTATTATTTATGTAATAGTTTAAATCAATAGTGTAGCAAAAAATATTATAGATTGAATATAATGAACTCATTATTTTTAAGTAGTTGACATGCCACTTAGTATGATTTGTGATTTTCTATGTTTTGAGTATCACGTAAGAAACGTCATGTGGTACTCTATGACTATTTAATAATTTTCATTCAAAACACATCATTTATAAGTAATGTCATCTCTTTAATATTTTTCTGTCAAATAAAAATTAAATAGATTTTATAATAATTTGTGCTATAAATGATGTGTTTTTATTTTTAAAATTAGAAATTTTGATCCATAATTTTTTGTGCTAAAATTACAAACTTACATCATCATTCCACACCAAGCTATTCCACACTATTTTAGAATTTTGATTTGCTCTTATTAATAATGAATATGTAATTTTTTATATTTAAATTTATCTCATAAAATTATTCTATGTGTTTGGTTTGAATTTTTTTGATTAAGTCTTTTATTTTTTGTATTTTTTTGTTTTCAGTTAATATTTTTAAATTTTAAGCACTTTCTTTTACTCTTTTAGATGTACCTTACTTAGATGTATCTAAAAAGTAAAAAATTTATGAAAAAAAATATTTTAAAAAATTAATAAATACATAAAAATATGAAAAATATATTGAATTCTCATTTTTTTTTATATTTTGGTATTTAGTGAATTTTTTAAATATTTTTTCATAAAAAATTATACTTTTTATGTGTATTTATGTTAGATGCGTCTAAAAATTATTTAAAATATTAAAAAAAATTAATAAAAGCAAAAAAAACACGAAAAACAAGAAAATATAATTTTTTAAAAAGTGTTTTTAGAAAACAAAAAATAAGCAAATCTGTTGCTCATGATTTTTTTTTAAATAAAAAATTATAATTAATAAGTATCCGCTCTAACTTAATTTTCTGGCTCTGCCACTGATTATTATGATTGTAATTCATTGAGTTTTATTGTAATATCTTATGGCCTATTTTCTCAATTTGGTTAAAAACTAGCTTTCTAATTTTTTGACTTTTTTTAATCATATTATCTTTATATTTTTTTCACGTTTTTTTTAAAAAAGTAAAAAAAAAAAAAATTCTAAAAAAATTAATTTTTAATCTACTTTCCAAAATAAGCCATATGAATAAAATTTATAAAAAAATTTGCGATAAGAGAATTTGACCATATATAATAGACACTTCATCATATTATATCATTATAAGTTGCATTATAGAGATATTTTTTTTTTAAGTCTCAAAACGTTTTCTTCTAGTGATTGGGAATTTATAAAGTTGCCCATTCAACTTTGTTTGGCTATGTTCAAATAAATTACTTTTTTATTAAAAAAGTGAAAAGTAAATAAACTGTTTAATTGGACTAAAAACAAAACCACTCCCCCCCCCCCCAAATATATATACACTAAGGCCTCTTTTGGAAAAATAAGTTAAAAGTCATTTTTTAACTTTTAACTCATTTTTGGTCATATCTTCTCTCGTATTTTTTACACGTTTTTAAAAAAAATAAATAAAGGGTTTCATTTGGAAAGTTGACTTTTTGGTTTTTTAATTATTTTAGCTTGAGTTAAAAAGCCTCGTTTGAGAAGGGCTTCTTAGCTTTTTAAACTTTTTGTGAGAAAAAAAAATGTAATGATTATGAGTTAGATGTGATGTTTTGTTTTATTGGATTAAAAAATCTATTTTGTCTTTTTTTTAGCTAAAATAACTCCAAACCCAACCTAACTCATCTTCCCAAACAGAAGCTAAAAAATAAGCTTAACTATATTTCCAAAACACCCCTAAGATTATTGCTAATAACATTATACTTTTTTTCTTTAGACCTTCATGCCTTCATACCTCTTTTTGTGTTACAAATTGATTCTATCATAAAATTTTAATTTTGTCTTCATCTGTAACTTCTTAAATCCTTACCTTAACTATCTAATCCTACTCTAACGCAGCCAACCACCACTATTTCTCATCGCTACCCTTTCTTGCCAATTTCAAGCTTCGACCCTTCCAACCTTGCTTTGCCTCTGCTTGCCGTCCCAGTCCATCTCTATTACTTTTTCCCCTCCACAAACACATCTCTGCCACCCCTTAGAAAGAGAAATCATGAGAGTGAGAGATAATAAAAAGAAGAATGTGGAGATAGATGAGAGAGACGACGATATCACGGGAAAAGAATGCAAGATCATGATAAAGTGAAGGACTAGCGCCAGAAAGGGGTTAGGGGTAGCATCGGAGGTAGGCTAAGGGTTGTTAATGATGTGGCATTAGAGACGCAGAGAGCAGAAGAGGGGTTACTCGATGTGAATGTCGCAAAGGGGAATGAGGAGTCTAAGAAGAAGATTTCTAGAGTGGTGGAAAAAAACAATAGTGGGGGTGGAGGTCCAAAAAAGAAGGGTATAATTGAAATTAAGGTGATGGTAAAAAAAAAATGAAAATGAAAATGTAAAGAGTAATTTAGTTGGTGGAGATCAAAAAAAAGTAAAGGATTCAAATAAATTTAGTGGACCAATGAATAACACTACTATGTTTTGAAAATTTAAGTGAAATTGTGCAAAGATGATTTTATTTTCAAGAATAATTAATTAGGTTAACAATGGTCCATAACACCACAAAGTAATATGATATTTTCTTATTAAAATATGTAAAGGCTTACAAGAATTTATTCATAAAAAATACTGTACTTGTTTTAACAATTACCAAAACGTTAACTTTTTAAAATTTTAAAAAATAAAAATAAAACAATTAAAGGAAAACAAATTTTTACCTCTCTGAGGATTCAGGCCCTCTCTATTGTAGATAATTAATTAATTTGTGATTCATAGATGACAACAAAATTTAATTAGTTATAATCATAATAATAAAATATATATATATAATTAATACAAAAAAAAATCCAAAGTGAGAGACAAATCTTAATAAATAATATTTTATTTAGTAAGATGCAAAAGTTATGTCTAATCGAGCTAACGAATTTAAATTGTTTCTTGATATAGTAAAGAAAAGGAAGATAAAATATATAAATTGTTTCTTAAGATCATAGGATTGATAGGAGTGGCAAATATGAGCGTCAAAAAAGAATAGAAAAGGAAAGAAAAGAAAAGAATGACGGAGACAGCAAAAAGGAAGAAAGGAAAAAGGGTAGAAAAAAATAAGAAGAAAAAAACAAGAGAGAGGGCATTATTAAGCCTCTGTTTGGCAAGATGGTTTTCAGGTTTTTTTGGCTATTTTAGCCACAAAAAACAAAATAGGCTATTTTAGCCATAACAAACAAAACATCACATCCAACCCATAATCATTACATTCTTCTCTCACAAAAAAAAATGGCGTTCACTACAATCTTTGGGTACTTGTTCACTAACCATCGATAAAACGACGGAACTCCCATATCTCTCTCTGTCTCTCTCAGAGTATATGCGCAGCAGTAACAGAGAGCTCAAAAAACATAACACAAAAAGCTTACAAGCAAGTGTAGGGATTGAATAATGCTATCTGCATTATTGGCATATAATATTATCCTTTTAATCCTTTTAAAAATTTATAATTTATATAATAAATAAGATTTAATAATATATAGATATCACCACCGTTATTAAAATAGTTGTTCACCAATATTAGCGGGTGCTACAGAGTAGAGATATTTATATGTGTTTCTCTCTCTAAATATATAGCTGTCTCTTTCCTTCTCTCTCTCTCTCACACACAGACCATCGTAATTTCAATTCAGACTGGGAAAATGGGATTATGATTTTTTAGAGATTCCATTTGTGTCATCTGATCTGGAAGGTGGGTGTGGTCTTAATTGTATATTAGGGCATGAAAATCTGCAAGGGGATTTGTTCTGAATCTTTTATTCTCAGCTCCACCATTGTTGATTGGTCCGTTTTCAATGAATTGGCTTCAAAATCCCATATTTTAATTATATTCTGTTTGGGTTTTTCTTTCTGGGTTTGGATATATATATATATATATATATATGTAATCTTTCTCTTCGTTCTTGGGCTGTTTCTAACACAATTTTCAGATACCCATTTCAATATTAATATGATTATATGCTGTCTCGCAACTGTTGACAAATTAAGAAGAAAAAGAAAAAGAAAGAACCTGTTTTTCGACTGTATCCCCTTTGATTTGCAGCTTATATTTTTATTTTATCTGGGTTTTGCTTTTTATGTTTCTGAAAGTATGATTTTGTTCTTGGTGGGTACACTTCATTAAATAGTTTAATATCATATATTTGTATTGCCCTATTGCTGCCTAGATGATTTGATTTTCACTGTATGTTGCTCCATTTTGTTATTAAAGAAATGGCAGGAATGGTTTCTGATTGACTTGTATTGTGTTCTTCTCTGTATTGAGCTCTCTATGCTGCTCTGTTCCACTCATTTGTGGTTGATGTTGGTTCTTATGATTGCAATTTCTCAGGAGTCCACTCTAGATTGGTCCAATTTTGTTCGGTTTTAATGGAGTGTGCGGATAAGGCGTTGGTATGCCTCTCATCTACTTGCTTAGCTCTTTTCTGTTTTTTTCTTTTTTTTTTTGGCTTGACTTAGCCTTTTGTATTCATAGTTGACCCTTTGCTAAACTATGTTCACATTTAATCCTTCTCTAACATATTGGGTTTTCATCTTTGTATTGTTCAAGAACCATTTGATACTCGTTAATTGATTTATTATGCTGAATAATACTTTTCAGTATTGTTGTCGAATTCATATTGGTTAATGAATTTGCTTCTTCATTCTCTCAAATTACATCAAAGATTATTTTGTCCATGCTATTTGGGTGTGAACATATTAAAATGGTCGGCTTGCTAAGAAGTTAGATTTTGCATAGTGGACACTCTGTTTGGTGTAACTTATCGGGGCTACTTATGGGTTTTTTTAGGAATATGTGCTAGAGTGTTTGGTGCAGTTACTGCGTACAACTCATGAGGCAAAAATAGTTTATATAAGCTGATTATTGAGTGTAGCAATTTGTCTATGTTGATTGAATGTACCAAAAGAAAGGTTGTGGCTTTATATTTGAATCCTTTTATTTTAAGCTCTTTGGATATTTGAACAGCATCAATTGATATCATGTAGGAGTGAAAGATGGATAGGGGTAGATTGGATTTAAGATTTCATCACTCTGGTTCCACACCATCAGAGGAATCAGCTTTGGACTTGGAAAAAGCCTACAGTAATCATACCAATCTGCCTTCGTCCAGTCCACCATCACTACAAGCTTTCACATCAAGTAATCAACATTCCGAGAGCAATGCAGCCTACTTCTCATGGCCCACTTCGAGTCGGTTAACTGATGCAGCTGAAGATAGGGAAAATTACTTTGGAAACCTTCAGAAGGGGGTTCTGCCTGAAACTCAAGGGCGACTGCCTACGGGGCAGCAAGCTACCACGTTGCTTGAACTGATGACCATTAGGGCATTTCATAGCAAGATCTTGCGCCGTTTCAGTCTTGGCACAGCAATTGGATTTCGGATTCGTCGGGGTGTTTTAACTGATATACCAGCTATTCTTGTCTTTGTTGCTCGGAAAGTTCACAGACAATGGCTCAACCATATTCAGTGTCTACCCACTGCTCTTGAGGTTTGGAAATCTGCGTATCTCGTAGCTTTCTAATTTATAGTAATTCTAATTTTGGAGGGTTTTCTTTTCATTTCAACTCCATGTTCAATTGTAGGTTTTAAATGTTGGATTTGACATCAATCTTGGTTCTCGTCAAAATACTGCAGCTGAATTTTTTTTTAAATTTTGTTCAAGTATAATGATATATGTGGCATGTTTTTAACTCGTGTGTTACGAACATTTTGAAGTTTGTTGAAACTTGAAAATGAAACTAAATATTAAGCTTTGAAAAATTAGAAAACTACTTTTTAGCCTTTCATTGAACTTCTGTACTTGGAAGTCAAATATTTTTTTGGTATTTATTGAGCAGGGACCTGGTGGTGTATGGTGTGATGTTGATGTTGTAGAATTCTCTTACTTCGGTGCACCTGCAGCGACTCCAAAAGAACAATTGTATAATGAGCTTGTAGATGGCTTGCGGGGAAGTGATCCATACATTGGTTCTGGTTCCCAGGTATTTTTCTTCTTCTTGATAGCTGCTCATCTTCTTATATGCTGTTTAACTGATTGGGCAAGTCTTTTCTTATACATATACACAAGGATTAGAATTTATATTACTTACATCCAGATAAATGGTAACAGGAGTACATAGGAGTATAAGGATGTAAAACAAGTCTTTTGTTTTTATTCTTTATTCTTGTGCTATAATCTGTGAATTATGGACAATAAATAAAACTATATCTGTGAATTATGGACATAAGTCACTCTATTTTTAACTCCTTCCCTTCAGTGATAGTAGATTTCTGGTTTAAGGTGCCAGTTTCCAGAAGTTGGTTATGCTTTTCGGAAGTTATGATTTTTGAAGGTTTCTTTTGTTAGAATGATTATGAAGTTATGATTTATGAATGTTTCTTTTGTTCGAATGTCTGTTAAATGATATATCCTATAGCCTATAGACCATCAAGCTTAACCCATTTTTTTTGTTTTAATTGTTTAATTCAAAGCACTTTAGTTTTGTTTGTTCCTCCTTCCCCAAAAGAGGAATTCCATATAAAACTTTTTTCAGTGATTCTTTATGATCCCTGAATTATTTCTATCATTACCTGCTCTATTCAGAAGATGTGAAACGATCCAAAATAACTAGCTGAAAGGTTTCAAAAAACCATTTCCTATTTAGTTGTAGTTTTATTTGGTGTATCTTAAGATTGGAGATCTCTTATATGAACATGACCATTATATGAACATGGGTTTTTTAAACTTGTGCCAGTGGCAGGAGTAACTATAGAACTTTGTTTCAGGCATTTTTTTTACCTGTGATGTGGATAAATGTGACAATGTTTTTAATTGATGTTCTTATGCTTTTTTCTTATTTGTTCAGTATGCGCGTCATCATAAGCTAAACTATATTTGTTACTCCATTTTGATATACACTTCTCGCATGCGGACAAAGAAGATTTGCCATTGCTCTCACCTTTATAGTCTATAGGCTATATCATTTCACAAATCTATGGATTATATGTTTATGATAATGATATAAAGGTCATTACCAGTGTTGGTTCCACTGTAATGGGAGGGGTGGACCTAGGTAGAACAAACTTGGATTATTTGCATAAGCTGCCTACCTACAAACTCAAATCTCACATTTTCATGCTTGACTTCCCAAAGCTTTGAAGCCATGGCCCACATGTTTTATAACATGCACCATCAAATATAACACAATCCAATTTTGCATTATGGCACATGCCCAAATGAAAACTTGCATTGCAGGACACAAATATTGTAGCTCTGCACCAACATGACCAAGAAAACCTTGTGGGTGATACTCGTGTTCTTACTTGTCTCCTAGGTTGAAAGTCCATCTCTGCCAAAAGTTTTTCCCAAAATCATAAAATCATTTTAATCTTACATGTCATCCCATTCCTAGCTTTACATGAATCTGGAAAATTCATGTGTGGACTTGGCATTGCATAAAGGATTTTCTTTCAAGCATATTGAGTGCCTTCTTTTGTTTATTAAATGTGTATTCTCCAGCAGACAAGAAACTGCTGTAGCATGTTTTTACTAATGCTTGGTTCCATTGTTTTACTGATTTTTTAACATCATTATTATGAATTTGAATTAGCTATGTCACAGTTGACTAGTTCTCTAACATCCACAAATGGTTGGTATGTCTTAGTTGGACCATGCTGAAAGGCATTTGTTGGAACTTGAAATATTTGGTTTCAACACTACCCTTACCCACTGTAGTATTACAGTGTCTACATTATTATCCCTATGTTATATTGAGGTTACTATTCTCATCTTCAACTATTTTAATATAAATATGTGCTAAGGTGGAGGGTTGGTTACACACTCAAAACCTGTTCGTTTGATTCTCCGCTTCTCTTCTAACCCTAACCTTAGGGTGTGTTTGGATCAAGGATTGGAGAAGCGATTTGTGAAGGAAAAGGAATTAGTAAGGGAAAAGTGAATGAAATATAAGTTAAATTTTGTTCCCTTTTCTCTTCCTTTTCCTTTTCCGAATCCCTCCTCAAATCCTTGATCCAAACACAGCCTTAATCTCATATTTTCACTTCAACTGCAACTATTCAGAAATCAATGTATCCAAAATTTTCATTAGTTGTTATGTTGGAGTGCTATTCATTTTTATTTGTTTTATCCTTATCTTCTTTTTAAGAGGTGTGGATTCCATTTTTGTTGTTCCTTATGGCCATTTGACACTGCAAGATTGATTTGTTAAATGGGAATTTGTTTACACGTTCCCTCAGTTGTTGCTCTTGAAATTACATGATCGCTTGTTGCTTGTTTAGGTTGCGAGCCAAGAAACATATGGAACCTTGGGGGCTATTGTAAAGAGCCGAACAGGAAATCAGCAGGTCGGCTTCCTCACAAATCGACATGTGGCTGTTGATCTGGACTACCCAAACCAGAAAATGTTTCATCCCCAGCCTCCAAGCATTGGACCTGGGGTGTATCTGGGTGCTGTGGAAAGAGCAACATCATTCATAACAGATGATCTTTGGTATGGCATCTTTGCCGGAACAAACCCAGGTAATATAATTCCAGATTATATGATAACCATTAATTCATCATCTGCATAGACGCAATCAAATCTGTTGCATTTTTCAATGAAAGGCTTGTTATCAATTTATATAGATCATGTCCATTATTTCTTGATACACTGTACTCTAGGATTGCTGGAAAAAAAGATATGGTTATCCCGTTAGGATCCGGAGCTGTCACCGGTAAGAGACTCTCAAAGCAAAAAGTAAAAATCATCTCTTCTTTAAATGGTGTCTCCAAAAGAGATTTGTCCAGCTCTGAAATGGAACTAAAACTCCATGCTATCCAACCTCGGTTTCCATCCCTCTCTAGAATGCATTGCTCATAAAAATTAGCAATCCCAGTCCTCACCTCTTTTTCTTGTGAAAGTGAATCATCGATCTTCTCTTTCACAATTTGGTTGTTTCTTCTTTAGGCATTACCACATGGAAAAAGTGTGTATTCCTGTCCCCTCCAACCACTTAGAATGGGCTTTCTGCTGTCAATTAATTTCCTCCATAGTGGCAACCCTAAAAAATTCCTCCTCCCTTCTAACCTTTTCTTCCATTGACAGTCCCACACTCTCTTCCAAAGCATCAAGAGAGAATATTTTCTAATAGTCAGGCCCTCTGCACCTCTAGCTTTATGAAATCCTCCTTATTCCACCTTTTCAAATCGACCTTCAACAATTTCAACTTACTAGCCAAGGTGAAGCCTGGAGTGCCTTCCACCTCATAATTGTTCCACCAGATTGAGAGTTTGTCCCTAAAACCATCCACTGAAAGCCACATGTTTTTAAATCTGGAGACAACTTCTCCTAATACCTGCAATAAAAGGAACATGGCCAGAAACTGGTCTTGGAAGAGGGATTTGCACCTCTTCCGAAAAGTGCTCCTCCCACTCAACTGAAACCAGATACTGATTTATCTGGTATAAGGGGAAACCTATATTGGACCAGGTAAATTGTCACACCCCAAGTAGCCTACTGACCCAGCGACTTGAATGGAGTGAGTCTAACAAAATAACCCAAAAGCACACCTCGCAGGGTGGCTCCCCCACCCCCCCTCTCCAAGAGCACACACGTCCTTGCCTGTGGGCCACACATTCGATCGGGTTTGGCTCTAACAAATGCTATCAGAGCCCAAGTTGGTAGACCCACTCCATTCAAGGGCATACATGTCCTCAGTTAGAATTTTATTTCCTACGAGTTGAGTTGAATTTATGTTTTGTTTATTTAAACAATATGCTGAAACATCTCTGCTTTTACATGTGTGCTAATGTGTTTCTCATCGTGTCCTAACCCCCACACATGCCCATCACGATCTGGTGATCGTGCAGAAACATTTGTTCGAGCTGATGGGGCGTTCATTCCTTTCACTGAAGATTTTGACATGTCCAATGTAAGGATACCCGTTAAAGGTATAGGTGAGATTGGTGATGTCAATGACATAGACTTGCAGTCACCAATCAACAGTCTTATTGGCAGACAAGTGGTAAAAGTTGGAAGAAGCTCTGGTTTGACTACCGGGACCATAATGGCGTATGCCCTAGAGTACAATGATGAGAAAGGGATTTGTTTCTTTACTGATTTTCTTGTGGTTGGCGAGAATCAACAGACGTTTGACCTTGAAGGTGATAGTGGAAGCCTCATTCTCTTAACAGGTCAAAATGGGGAGAAACCACGGCCTGTTGGGATCATTTGGGGTGGGACAGCTAATCGAGGTCGGTTGAAATTGAAAGTTGGTGAACCTCCGGAGAATTGGACTAGTGGAGTTGATCTTGGGCGCCTTCTTGATCTTCTTGAACTTGATCTGGTTACAACCTGTGACGGGCTTCAAGGTTTGGCCTTCTGAATCCTCTAGTTCAAGATTTCTTTCAATAATACAATTGCCGTGTTACCTTTGATAGTGCTTTTATATTTGGTTCGTTAATATGTTATTATTATTTCATTTAGTGCAAGGTGTCTATACTAAGAAACATAATTTATTTTCAACTAAAATGATATGCAAGCATTGAAGTGTAATTAAGATTTGAAGCCACCACTGGCATTGGAAAATGGTGTTTGGGGGTAGTTGTTAAATATACAAAAGAAAGAAAAAAGTAAAAAAAGACGAGGGCTACAAAATTCGTTGTAACACAGAACACTCTCCCGTGTGCTTGTGCCCACTAACATGTGCATGATTCTACCTATGAAGCACGTGTATGGATACAAGTATTGATACGGGTATGATATGATACGGTAAAAAAAAAAGAAAAAAGAGTAGAGTATGGGTACCACTTGGTACGCTTATAAAAAAATATTTCTTTTTAATTTAGAGTAATGCAAAAATTAAATAAATGGTTTGATTGTTAAGATTCAACCTACAATTAACATTTATTGTCAAAAGTAAAGGTATCAATCAAAATTAAATGTCAATATATTAACTAACTTACAAATCATAGTTTAATTTTAAAAACATGTTAAGTGTAAAACTAAAAATAAAAAAGAAGTCTAGTGAAAAGGAGTTTTGTCTCTATAGTAGAAGAAAATATTGTTTTAATTGAGGTACGGTACAGCTTGAGTATATAGTAAGTACATCTGGGTATGCCAAAAATTAAAAAAAAAAAAATTGGATACGTGTTTCATGTACCCGGTACGTATGCAGAAGTACCATTCGAGATACCATACGCCGGTAAGTACCGGATACGGATACGCGTACGACATGTTTTTCGAAGTACCCATGCTTCATAGATTTCACCCATTGTCATTTTTTCAACTAAAATTGTATAAATATATAAATATTTTCAACTGACATGTGCATGATTCTATTTTGCTTTATGGTGCATTGTCTTTTTCTTTTTCTTTTTCTTTTTCTTTTACCCGTCCCCCCTTCCATATCTTTTCAGTGGGGGCTAAAAAATATTCCTAGGCAAGGAAAGAGCTAGGGAGGTAGAATTTTGGTGTAATAGAGTTTAGGATTCTTGCACTCTGTTTTTTTGCATTTTTTGATATTTGGTGCGACAGAAAACGAAGTCAATAGAAAACAAGCTGATTTGGACAGAAAATGTTTTTCGCTATTAAAAATTTTTCGCCAAAACAAACAGAACATTAGTGGCAAAAGATTTTCAACCTTTTTGCTCTACTAATTATATCCCCATATATCTTTTGTTGACCATTACTCCTGTGCTAATTTCTTCGTCTTGTTGATGTAGCTGCACTGCAAGAGCAAAGAAATGCTTCTGCAGTGGGCATGGATTCTACCGTGGGAGAATCATCTCCCCCTGACCGGTTGCAACTGAAAGATAAAATTGGTGAGAACTATGAGCCTCTCGGCCTACACATTTGGCAAGTGCCTATTGAAGGTGAGTCCCATCGGGGCCCAACCCCGTCATTCATGAACGGAAATTTTCCCAATGAAGCCGGTACTGAAGCAGCTCCCAATTTAGAGCACCAGTTTATTCCAAGTTTTACTGAAAGATCTGCGGCACATGAGAACAATCAACAGGGAAACACAGAATCAAAAAACCTAGCAGCATTAAGGAGTGGTTCTGATGAAGAGATTTCTGTTTTGTTGCAGTTGGGCGAGCCAGAACCAAAGAGAAGAAAGCAATCGGATTCTGATTCTCCACTAGGCGTAGAAGACCAAAAACCCAAAATGAAATAAAGGTAACTGCCTCGTGTTGAGAATTCTTTTGGAGAGTTGAGTTAAGATTCTCGGGTCTTTAATTTTGAATTGTATCTGAAATTTGAAATTGCAGGGAGGAACCCGGGTTGAGCCTCCGAGTAGATAAATTATTATTTATTATTTGATACTTTTAGCATATCTTGGTCAAATTACAAAATTAGGTTACATAAGTGGGGATATACAGCATTTGAGGGGGGGAAATGTACATTTTCTTCTTTGATTTGTATAATTTTGTTCAAAGTTTATTTGTACCATAGACACCGCGCGGGGGGGAATCCAATTTTACCCTTTGGATGGGAAAGTGCTTTGGTGAAATTGGTGGCAAAATAGTGCCCTCTTTGTTTAAATGTTACTGGAGACAAATTGCAGTGAAATAAAGAATGTGGCCTTGCCAATAATCTGTGCTCTTTATTATTTGGTGCAGAAATGGTGTTTCTATCTTGCATTATTATTATTATACAGTTAATGCGACAATTTTTAATTTGGAAAAATATTCGGTCTTATTTTTTTCACGAACTTCTCATGGAGTACTATTAACACTTGATGGGGAGAGGGTTGATACATGTACTAGCAGTGAGTGCGACAGACATTGCCTTGGAATTGTGTATTGGGATTTTTAGGTGATTTGATGAGGGAGAAAGATGAATTGAATTTGAAAGTAGTTTATACAATTATGTATTGGATGTGGGGTTTTAAATTAACCGAATTGTAGAATTGACAAAAAAAATGTGAGCAGTTATACTTTTATAAGTATTCTTGAAATAAAATAGATTACAAAAAAAAGAGCCTTTCGAGCAAATAATTGCAACCCCTCAACCCCCTCCCTTGTTGGACTACCCTTGCAACACCTGACCATCGTGACCAGTCTTAGACCATTGCAAGTAGCTCTCTCTCTCTCTCTGTCTCATGATTTTTGGTTTGGGTTTTGAAATCTGAGGGGATTGAGGTAGAGGTCTGGGTGTAATGTAGTAGCTAATAGGAAGGGCTAAGGTGGAAAAAGGTTGGGTGTGGCAATGCTGGCGGTAAGGAAGGGGGTTGGTGGTGGGCAACAGGGTTAGTGAAGGGTGGGGAGAGAGGCTGGGAGTGGCAGTGGTGTTGACGGGAGAGGGGCTAAGGGTGAAGTGGAAAAGAGTTGTGTGGTGCCGGTGGCAGCTAGGGAGGAAGTTGGGGGTGAGCAATGGGATTCAGTAGAGGGTGGGAGGGGTTGGGTGTGGGGGTGGTGAAGGGGCTAAGGGTAGGTAGAGTGGGTTGGTACAAGGTGGGAAAAGGGCGAGAAACAGGGTTGAGGGGCTAGGAAAGGCAGGGAGGGTGGGGATGGGACTGGGAATGGCAATGGCAAGGTCGGATGGGTAAAGGGTGGCCAACAACTAGAGAAGGCGAGAGAAGGAAGAGAACGAGGCACACACAGGATATATGTAATAGAATATATATATATACAAATAGAGTTGCGTGTCACTCTCATTCGAGTACACGATGTTTAGGGGGTTCAAACACATTTATATACACATGGGCACACACAAACAGTCCAACCCCGAGCACAGTGCACCCTCTCTTCCACATTGTGATATAACAATTCAACCCCTATACACAGTTTAGGCACTTGCTGTCACACTCACAGCATTCAGTTCAACATGCTGCCTACCCTCACTCTGAGGGTGAACTATGACAGTTGCACAAGCCTCTTCTTGCATATGCTGACCATCTGCTTCATTAGAGACACAGATCGAGCTGACCAATGGCTTAGTTTCTTCGTCATCTTGCCCATCCACGATGATTTCCCACTCCTCTTTGAGCGAAGTTACTTGTAATCCCTTTTCTTGGTGCTTTTCAATCTCGAATAAGGTGGGTAGAATCACATAATCATTTACAGGATTGTAGAAAGGATCTGGATCCCCTGCATTCAGCCAATGTTGAAGTATCCGGAAGACATGACGGTCACACAGGATTCCTCTATGCTCACCGGGGACTCCAACTCTTGCTTCTGCATTAAGCCCATCCGCCTGTAGGAAAGAAACAAAATAGCAACTAAGAGATTACTATTTCAAAGATCCAAAATATGTTGCCATGTTAGTGCTCCACACATTTGACAGCAGATGACATTCACACCTCTAATTATTGTTACTCCACAGCTTAGAACCACAATAAACTCACAGCCCAGCTAACTACTCTTTATATTGACTGTTGTTTTGTTACATAACAATAACACAACAGAAGTTTCACTTCTGTGACATCTTCATATGCCTTGGGCAAGTCTTTTTCATTTACCAACACATTCATTGTAGGTGTTTGCTCTTATGTGACACAAATGTCCACAACTTCATTCACATCTAACCTCCTTTCAGCATATTAACTAAATCTTGTCCAGGGATGGCAAAATTCTCTGACCCGATTCTATTTGTTCCAATCCGATTTTAATATAAATGGTTTGAGAGAGCATTGATTGGGTAGGGGAAAGGTAGGTATGTCAAAACTGTCAAACTTATAATAAAGTACAAAATTGTATCACTAAAATAATTGAGTTTAAAATTAACAATTTGTGCGCGAAACCCGAAAACCCGATCCGTTGTCCAGTTATTCTACAATCAGAAGTTGAAAATCACGGGGATGAACTACAACTGATATCTGAATATCATTCCATGACAAAATTTGACAAATTGACAAACGACATGCACCAGTTCTGAAAAGATTGTTTTGTTGTTAACAAGCCACAAACCAAACTGACTTCTAAAACAGCTTGTGTCATGTAACAAAATATAACTAACTCATAGGGTATCGGATTACTGGCAACAGTAAATACCTTTGCAGATTCCACAGGAACTGTCCCATCACCATCAACGCATACATATCTACCCTGAAAATTTGCAATCAAAAGCTACTGTAACTAACTAGTCAATAATGCTAGCAAGGATATAAGGCACGTATATACTTTTTCTTTTGATAGGTGCAAATGCAGGGGTGTGATGCACATACACCATTCATTCAAAAGCAGACAGGCATCTCATAAAAAAGCACAATGCATTGATACCTATATCAAGATTATTATGATCTCAGCTTCCAGTGAAGGATTATTTACCTGCAAAAATGGTAATTGTTGTAAATCTGTGACGGGTGCCCTCTCAGTTCCATAACTGCCAAACCAAAATACAAATTAGTCATATCCTTTTGCCAGAATATAGGCATTCAAACAACAACCTATTTTCTCCTACTTCATAGTACAGAAGCCGTTAAATTTAACCACTATGAATCGCAGCAAAAAATACAAGAAAACTTAATTCAAAGGGCTCAAAATAAGTTACCACACACTATGAGGTGTCTCAAGATTTGTCGCATATATATTGTAGAATTTAACTTGAGGTGGAACCTTAGCAGAGGACAAGACCTTTCGAGTCTCGTTAGCCCATTTCAAGATCTCTAAGTTGAAGGGTAACGGGATATCCACCCCATCATAATTCACCTGGAATGTGCAACGCAAGATTAGTACCTTTATAGGTTACCTATGTAACATGAATTCAGACATGAGTATTGGATGTAGGTGTGAAGCGAAGTCCCACATCGCCTAAGTACTAAAATAATATTAAGCATATAAGTGTAAGGGCACCCTCACCTTAATAGCTAGCTTTTGGGGTGAGTTTTATCCAAGATCGTGTAACATGGTATCAGAGCCAAGAGTACTAAAGGATGGGTAGGGTGCGTGTCCCTGGCCCACACGCCGCAAGTACTGCCGAGTGAGCACGCTGGGCGTGCAGGAGGATGTGAAGCGAAGTCCCACATCACCTGAGTACTAAAGTAATATTAAGCATATAAGCGTGAGAACACCCTCACCTTAATAGCTAATTTTTGGGGTGTGTTCTACCTAAGACCGTTTAACAGTAGGTCCATATCCAAGAGTATTGAGATATGTATCCAAAAATTGGATATGGGTAGGCATCATGGACACATGCATATTCCATCTTATATAATATTCTTCGATGATATTGTAAATTATGTAAAAATGTACTTCACTTAAACAAGATTTAGGAAAAATATGAAATTGCTCTCTCATTCATGTGAGAGGCTAAAAATGTTTTTTTACTAGCAAATTTGAGTTTCTTCTTCTTCAAACACTCTGAAAAAATAGAGGATTCAAGTATCTATATTGCGTACGGGTGTCGGGCACATATCTTACATTCTTACCGAAGTCATAGTCCATGTAACACGAATAGATGCACATCTTAAAAGTCTATTGGTACTAATCTAACTTGATTCATTACAAGAGTCAGCATAATACGGATCACGATTTTTCATAGAAATACCAATTAAAAAGAATACACATCGCGCATGTTTTCTCTACCATGGTATTCAGGGCACTATTCTAGATTCTGGTTAAAATTCAATTTTGAACATGTTGAAACTTCAATAAAATATCCCTGAAATCACATAAATGTACGACAGTTTGTTCATTACCAGAGATTTTGGTAGAAAAAATAAATCAGAAATATTTTCAGACTTTCATTGTCCTATAAAAAACTGACCATGAAAAGAGCATCACAAAATTAAGGGTATTTGAACTTTATCTGAAATCCATAGCTCACCGTGTTGCTTGAAAGGGCTTCCATAAAAATTGGCACACTTTCTTCTGGGGGATAGGACTCCAGCATAACATAGGAATTTCCATCACTATCACAGTTCTGTCTCCAAAATTCTAGAAGTGGAGTGTGATCCCAGTGGAAATCACGAGAAGCCATCAATTCATATATTGAAGGACATTCAATAAGCTGAAACATCACAGCTCATCAATGATTAATCCATAAAAAATTACCAGAGAAATTTAAATTCAAAACTAAAAAACAATAAATGACAAGATTAGAAAAGGAAATTCTTCTCTTTTATTCATGAAGTAAACAACAGCACAGTTTAATTCACAAAGTCGAATGCAGAATAAGCAGTGCAAGTACAAGTGTCTAAGTAATAGGGTCACTTGGACAGATCATTTTCTCAAAATATTGTACAACAGATGCATTCAAAACTCAGATAAGAAACGCAATAACATTTTGTTCCATAGTAGTGCCCAACTCAACAAGATGTAATCATGCAATCCCATAGGCCCAAACATTCATTTAATAACAGGTTATTTCTTCTTGGAGGGTATAGCAAATGAATTAGACAAATGCCCAGGAAAACTTTGGTTGAAGTGACATGAATATCTTAAACTTAACTAATGATATGACTGAATAAAACCAATTGGAGCAAATATCTATGTAGCCGACATCAAGTAATTGGGACAAAAGTTTGTTGAGTTGAAATTACGTGTGTTCCAGAAGCCAGAGTGGATACAAAAAGCCAACCAAGAGCCCTTGGGGTTGGAATGGATATTAACAAGAAGTATATATATTCACAATTATCTGCCTACAAAGGTATAGCAGATTCTTCTCCATCATTTGTCTACCATAGTGCAGATGACCTTCAATATTTCTCAATGCCAAGAATATCATGGATAGAGGAGGTGAATTTTGGAAAAATATTTACAATGCAATATTCTGACTACAAGTCTACAATAAATCAACAAGCTGAAATAACACAAGTTTTACAAATTCGAAAATTGCTGGAGTCATACCAGTTGATGCATGCTCCATTTTGATATGAAAAAGTTCTGCTCCCACCCTTCCACGAATGAAATACCATTCAGAAAGGTAGACGTAATATATCCAGGCGCACCTGTCAACACACAATCATTTTGAATCAGACCCCCTTTGTGATACAGCTTCTAGATTTCTAATGAACAAGATGTTTAACTTCAAACATGACCTTCCCTCTACAAACTAGGTATTGTTCTCATTGCAAGATGCAAATGAGGATTTTACATATGGGTCAGATATCTTTTAATTTGGGTGATATGGGTCAGCCCTGTAAGGGTTTCTTATTTAACCTCATGGAGATGACCGGGGGGGAAGGTTCTTTCATAATTGGTTTTCTAGTTTGGTGAAAAAAATGACAAAAATAAAAAAAATTGACAAAAATAAAAAAAAAATGCTCGTTTTTTTCATATGGTTCTCCTTTTTAGGCAGAAATAATTTTTGAAAATTCAAAAAATCTTTTTAATGTTTAATTTTGTCAAACTAGTTTCTAATTTTTTTAAAAAAATATGCAAAAAACAAGTTTTGAAAACTCAATCAAACAGACCCTGGAATCTTGCAATCACAAATTCTCATTATCTAAATAAACTCTTCTGTCCTTAGCAGCACATGACATTGAACTCCTTTACACACGACCCCAACGAACACGTACAAATCGATAGTTGAAACAAAAAATTCACACTTGAATTGTGGCAAGGAAATTTCCCACATGCCAATAATAAGTGAGGCTATTATACATGAAGAATTAAGAAGCACGAAACAGTTGGCTGTAAGAAGATTAACAAAGTCCTTAAAGAGAGGATTTGACAATATTATTTCTTCCGATATTTTTTATTGTTAAGATTATAAAATTGGTTCTGCATATATTGATTCTGCTTCTCGGGACATATCAAGTTGCAACCTCAAAGCTAGTATCTTTGTCAACTGGTATGTCATCACTTACCCTGGAATGGTGCAGCAATTGCTATCCAATTCTTCACATATTTTTCAAAGATCTGCGGAACAAGATTATCATTAGAAGATTACACACTTATACATCTTAAAGAAACACCAGTTCACAATGTGCACCACAAACCCACATCAAATGGTTAGTGGGAAAAAGAAAGAAAGAAAGCACAAAAAAGAGTAACACAAGAAATGAGGATTGAGTAATGTGGAATGTGGAATTTTACATCACTGTGCAGGCACATAAAGCATTTCACCAGAACACCCCCCATTGAATGACTTATTATGTTTATCTTTTTGCCTCCTGAAGCAGTAAATATGGACTCCAGTTTTGCTGCCAAGCTATCCATTGTTTCCTGGAATCTAAAAGGAAGATAGAACACTTTAAACTGCTTTACAAGTATTATGACAACAGCATTATAGAGTATATTTTAACTTATCAAAAAAAAAAAAAAAAATCTAGAAGTAAATTTTAATCTAAATAAAAAAAATACAATTTATTTAAGTTTACTCTATATAAACAATACCTCTTAGCAGCATAAATAATCAGGTGGTGACCATTGTAAAGAAGATATTTTCACTAATCAAAATCAGCTTAGGGCTAGTTTGGCATGTACTAAATAAGTTAAAAAGTCAAAAAGTCACTATCTTATTTAAGTCACATCATCTTATTTAAATCACATCACCTCTCTAACACATCACATCAAACCCAACCCAAACCCACCAATAAGTCAAAAAGTGCACTTTTTTAGGACATCCCAAACCAACCCTTAGTCTCCCATCCAATACTCAGAAAGACATTACATGTAACAACAGGGTTGAACACAACCCCTCATGCAAAGAAACAGTGGGAAAAAGCTGAGAGGACTAATGTACAGTAAACTGATTTAAATTGGCATACTTCATCCATAAACCTTTTTTTATTATTTCAAAATACTGATAAACTCTAAAAAAAAGTAAAGGATAAGCTTGCATACTAGAAGCGGTAGATTCCCGCCTCCATTTTTACTGCCTCCTTTGGTGAGAAGTTTCCTTCCCTTTTCTAAAATGTCTGATTGGTCTGCTCTGCAATTTTGGGCAAATTAAGTGCAAAAAAAAAAAAAAATACACTCAAAAAACAACGCCCAATTAGTACACATTAATGTGTGTTTGGGAGGGAAAAGATGGGGTATACACCTAACCTTTGGCATAGTGCACAAAGTGGCTGCCCTGTGACTTAAACCCATAACCTCAAGGATATTAGGCCAAGATTTTACCATTGAACCAATGGTCACCCCTCAAAGTAAATAGTCCCTTTTCAGCCAAACTTCTACAAATCATACTTCAAACTTTCTTATCCAATGAATTTTTTCTGGTGGTTGTTTAACTCTAATAAAATTGTCAAAATGCATTCAAGACAAGCTCATCAACAATTCAGATCAGATTAGAGTCTAACAAAATTCAGCATGAACCCGACCAAAACTGATCTTAAAGGTCATAGAAGATAAGAAATGAATTACGACCACTTGTCACATCTTTGATCAAATAACAATTATGTATTAATTGATACTACACAAAGGCACCCCTAGAGTCTGGACTATCACTTGTCCCCATATAAATATATAAATAGAATTAACAGCAGAAACGAGAAACAAAAACATTAATCAAAATTCTAATACATTGTGGTTAACTGAACCCGCAGCCCAGTAGATACCTGTTACTCTGGCGGAAATCATATCCAAAACCAAACAGTGTTTTCCCCTCTTGGAAACCCCATTTGAGCATTTCAACTATCATGTCGTGGAAATAATATACACAATCACGCCCAATGACCTGCGGAAAAATGTTAAAAAAATACAATTAAAATTCATCAAAAGTTCATGTTACCGGTTCCAAGAATACTTGATAAATGGAAGGGACAAGTAACTAAAATCAGAGTATAGTTGTTCGTTATGGTCAACTCAAGCAGTTCTGAGGTCAGTAAGATGCAGAGAAAACAGTTAAAGAATTAGTTGCAAAAGAGGACATCAGATAATGAATAGAGAGCCCCAGAAAGACAAAATCAAATTGATTCTGAAACAGGATATACTGAAAGATGCACAGATAAACAGTTAAAAGAAGTACCATTTTGGCAAACTTTGGCTTTTTTGGCTTTTTAGTCACATCACATCTCTACTTTTTTACATTTTTTTTTTTTTTTCAAAAAAACCCAAAAAGCCAACTCTTAACCTATTTCCCAAAACAACCAGACATAATCAGATAGTGAATGGCAAGCCCAGACAGATAAAATAAAAATAATTTCTGATACGGTATAGACCCTAGCTTCTTCAAGTGAAGGCAGCCAACATGCATGAATGAGTTAGGAGACAATACGCACCATATCAGGATCCAAGATGTCAATTGCATGGAGCCCGTATCTGTCTTCAGGAACCGCAATCTTTGTCTTGGGATCCAAAGACACAGTTTTACCTGTTTCACATGAAAAAATAATTTAAAAAAAACTAGTCTCCTCATTCGACCTACACCAAAAGCATTGGTCTCTCATTTGACATGTGCAAGACTGATTGTTGTGTAGAAAAGAACGCGAACGTATCAATGCATAACACAAATAAGCAGCCACTACATGGTAAAGCATTCTTGATAGAATGCTGAGACAAGAATTCTCATATCACCAACCCCTCCCAACGTAAAATTCTGCTATAAATTTGCAGTATGATCATCATCCATCAAAAGATACCATCAAGCAACTTCTTTTTCCTTATTTTTTTTCTCTTTTTATGATTCATAAGGACAATGGTGTTCTATAGGACAGAATGTTCGGCATCTAAGAAACAACGAATTCGAAAAATTAGTGTAGCTGATATGAAAATGCTTAGAAAGATATGTTGTCATAAGACTAAGATAGATAGAATTAGAAATGAATCTATTCGTGAAGGTGGTGGAAGTAACACTAATAGAAGATAAGTTGAGAGAAAATAGACTAAGATAGTTTGGTCATGTACAATGTAGACCTCCAAATGCGAAAATAAGGAAGAGTGATATGATCGCCATAACTAAAAATTTTTGGGGGCAAAAACAACTAAATTGACATGGGATGCGATTATGAATTTATTTAATTTAACTAAGCATATAGCTTTTTGACTGAGCAGAATGGTGGAAAAAGATTCATGTAGCCGACTTCAGTTCTGAACCCAAACAGACCAAAACTCAAAATTTTGATACAGCATACTCCATAAAAAAATTATGCTTCAATGATGCATTAAAGCTGTATAATTGCAGATTATAGTTAAGCAAACAAACTAACCACAAACGAATCAATAAGCTTGCTTGAACTTTCTGATCAGTTATAATTAAGCTAATTACATGCTAATTCACGTTATGCTTCAATGTTGCGTTAAAGCTGTACGGTTCAATATTCTAGTTAAGCAAACTAACCACGAATGAATCAATAAGCTTGCTTGAACTTTCTGATCAGTTATAATTAAGCTAATTACATGCTAATTCACGTTATGCTTCAATGTTGCGTTAAAGCTGTACGGTTCAATATTCTAGTTAAGCAAACTAACCACGAATGAATCAATAAGCTTGCTTGAACTTTCTGATCAGTTATAATTAAGCTAATTACATGCTAATTCACATTATGCTTCAATGTTGCGTTAAAGCTGTACGGTTCAATATTCTAGTTAAGCAAACTAACCACGAATGAATCAATAAGCTTGCTTGAACTTTCTGATCAGTTATAATTAAGCTAATTACATGCTAATTCACATTATGCTTCAATGTTGCGTTAAAGCTGTACGGTTCAATATTCTAGTTAAGCAAACTAACCACGAATGAATCAATAAGCTTGCTTGAACTTTCTGATCAGTTATAATTAAGCTAATTACATGCTAATTCACATTATGCTTCAATGTTGCGTTAAAGCTGTACGGTTCAATATTCTAGTTAAGCAAACTAACCACGAATGAATCAATAAGCTTGCTTGAACTTTCTGATCAGTTATAATTAAGCTAATTACATGCTAATTCACATTATGCTTCAATGTTGCGTTAAAGCTGTACGGTTCAATATTCTAGTTAAGCAAACTAACCACGAATGAATCAATAAGCTTGCTTGAACTTTCTGATCAGTTATAATTAAGCTAATTACATGCTAATTCACATTATGCTTCAATGTTGCGTTAAAGCTGTACGGTTCAATATTCTAGTTAAGCAAACTAACCACGAATGAATCAATAAGCTTGCTTGAACTTTCTGATCAGTTATAATTAAGCTAATTACATGCTAATTCACATTATGCTTCAATGTTGCGTTAAAGCTGTACGGTTCAATATTCTAGTTAAGCAAACTAACCACGAATGAATCAATAAGCTTGCTTGAACTTTCTGATCAGTTATAATTAAGCTAATTACATGCTAATTCACATTATGCTTCAATGTTGCGTTAAAGCTGTACGGTTCAATATTCTAGTTAAGCAAACTAACCACGAATGAATCAATAAGCTTGCTTGAACTTTCTGATCAGTTATAATTAAGCTAATTACATGCTAATTCACATTATGCTTCAATGTTGCGTTAAAGCTGTACGGTTCAATATTCTAGTTAAGCAAACTAACCACGAATGAATCAATAAGCTTGCTTGAACTTTCTGATCAGTTATAATTAAGCTAATTACATGCTAATTCACATTATGCTTCAATGTTGCGTTAAAGCTGTACGGTTCAATATTCTAGTTAAGCAAACTAACCACGAATGAATCAATAAGCTTGCTTGAACTTTCTGATCAGTTATAATTAAGCTAATTACATGCTAATTCACATTATGCTTCAATGTTGCGTTAAAGCTGTACGGTTCAATATTCTAGTTAAGCAAACTAACCACGAATGAATCAATAAGCTTGCTTGAACTTTCTGATCAGTTATAATTAAGCTAATTACATGCTAATTCACATTATGCTTCAATGTTGCGTTAAAGCTGTACGGTTCAATATTCTAGTTAAGCAAACTAACCACGAATGAATCAATAAGCTTGCTTGAACTTTCTGATCAGTTATAATTAAGCTAATTACATGCTAATTCACATTATGCTTCAATGTTGCGTTAAAGCTGTACGGTTCAATATTCTAGTTAAGCAAACTAACCACGAATGAATCAATAAGCTTGCTTGAACTTTCTGATCAGTTATAATTAAGCTAATTACATGCTAATTCACATTATGCTTCAATGTTGCGTTAAAGCTGTACGGTTCAATATTCTAGTTAAGCAAACTAACCACGAATGAATCAATAAGCTTGCTTGAACTTTCTGATCAGTTATAATTAAGCTAATTACATGCTAATTCACATTATGCTTCAATGTTGCGTTAAAGCTGTACGGTTCAATATTCTAGTTAAGCAAACTAACCACGAATGAATCAATAAGCTTGCTTGAACTTTCTGATCAGTTATAATTAAGCTAATTACATGCTAATTCACATTATGCTTCAATGTTGCGTTAAAGCTGTACGGTTCAATATTCTAGTTAAGCAAACTAACCACGAATGAATCAATAAGCTTGCTTGAACTTTCTGATCAGTTATAATTAAGCTAATTACATGCTAATTCACATTATGCTTCAATGTTGCGTTAAAGCTGTACGGTTCAATATTCTAGTTAAGCAAACTAACCACGAATGAATCAATAAGCTTGCTTGAACTTTCTGATCAGTTATAATTAAGCTAATTACATGCTAATTCACATTATGCTTCAATGTTGCGTTAAAGCTGTACGGTTCAATATTCTAGTTAAGCAAACTAACCACGAATGAATCAATAAGCTTGCTTGAACTTTCTGATCAGTTATAATTAAGCTAATTACATGCTAATTCACATTATGCTTCAATGTTGCGTTAAAGCTGTACGGTTCAATATTCTAGTTAAGCAAACTAACCACGAATGAATCAATAAGCTTGCTTGAACTTTCTGATCAGTTATAATTAAGCTAATTACATGCTAATTCACATTATGCTTCAATGTTGCGTTAAAGCTGTACGGTTCAATATTCTAGTTAAGCAAACTAACCACGAATGAATCAATAAGCTTGCTTGAACTTTCTGATCAGTTATAATTAAGCTAATTACATGCTAATTCACATTATGCTTCAATGTTGCGTTAAAGCTGTACGGTTCAATATTCTAGTTAAGCAAACTAACCACGAATGAATCAATAAGCTTGCTTGAACTTTCTGATCAGTTATAATTAAGCTAATTACATGCTAATTCACATTATGCTTCAATGTTGCGTTAAAGCTGTACGGTTCAATATTCTAGTTAAGCAAACTAACCACGAATGAATCAATAAGCTTGCTTGAACTTTCTGATCAGTTATAATTAAGCTAATTACATGCTAATTCACATTATGCTTCAATGTTGCGTTAAAGCTGTACGGTTCAATATTCTAGTTAAGCAAACTAACCACGAATGAATCAATAAGCTTGCTTGAACTTTCTGATCAGTTATAATTAAGCTAATTACATGCTAATTCACATTATGCTTCAATGTTGCGTTAAAGCTGTACGGTTCAATATTCTAGTTAAGCAAACTAACCACGAATGAATCAATAAGCTTGCTTGAACTTTCTGATCAGTTATAATTAAGCTAATTACATGCTAATTCACATTATGCTTCAATGTTGCGTTAAAGCTGTACGGTTCAATATTCTAGTTAAGCAAACTAACCACGAATGAATCAATAAGCTTGCTTGAACTTTCTGATCAGTTATAATTAAGCTAATTACATGCTAATTCACATTATGCTTCAATGTTGCGTTAAAGCTGTACGGTTCAATATTCTAGTTAAGCAAACTAACCACGAATGAATCAATAAGCTTGCTTGAACTTTCTGATCAGTTATAATTAAGCTAATTACATGCTAATTCACATTATGCTTCAATGTTGCGTTAAAGCTGTACGGTTCAATATTCTAGTTAAGCAAACTAACCACGAATGAATCAATAAGCTTGCTTGAACTTTCTGATCAGTTATAATTAAGCTAATTACATGCTAATTCACATTATGCTTCAATGTTGCGTTAAAGCTGTACGGTTCAATATTCTAGTTAAGCAAACTAACCACGAATGAATCAATAAGCTTGCTTGAACTTTCTGATCAGTTATAATTAAGCTAATTACATGCTAATTCACATTATGCTTCAATGTTGCGTTAAAGCTGTACGGTTCAATATTCTAGTTAAGCAAACTAACCACGAATGAATCAATAAGCTTGCTTGAACTTTCTGATCAGTTATAATTAAGCTAATTACATGCTAATTCACATTATGCTTCAATGTTGCGTTAAAGCTGTACGGTTCAATATTCTAGTTAAGCAAACTAACCACGAATGAATCAATAAGCTTGCTTGAACTTTCTGATCAGTTATAATTAAGCTAATTACATGCTAATTCACATTATGCTTCAATGTTGCGTTAAAGCTGTACGGTTCAATATTCTAGTTAAGCAAACTAACCACGAATGAATCAATAAGCTTGCTTGAACTTTCTGATCAGTTATAATTAAGCTAATTACATGCTAATTCACATTATGCTTCAATGTTGCGTTAAAGCTGTACGGTTCAATATTCTAGTTAAGCAAACTAACCACGAATGAATCAATAAGCTTGCTTGAACTTTCTGATCAGTTATAATTAAGCTAATTACATGCTAATTCACATTATGCTTCAATGTTGCGTTAAAGCTGTACGGTTCAATATTCTAGTTAAGCAAACTAACCACGAATGAATCAATAAGCTTGCTTGAACTTTCTGATCAGTTATAATTAAGCTAATTACATGCTAATTCACATTATGCTTCAATGTTGCGTTAAAGCTGTACGGTTCAATATTCTAGTTAAGCAAACTAACCACGAATGAATCAATAAGCTTGCTTGAACTTTCTGATCAGTTATAATTAAGCTAATTACATGCTAATTCACATTATGCTTCAATGTTGCGTTAAAGCTGTACGGTTCAATATTCTAGTTAAGCAAACTAACCACGAATGAATCAATAAGCTTGCTTGAACTT